TCGTGGGTAAAGGTACCGCGATTTTTGTCGACTGTAAATGGATGCGAATAACCAGTCGCGCTGCTGGTAATTTCATGAGGATTCTGGTGGGCTGACTGCTGCTATCAGTGGCGAGAGCGAGAAACTGTCAATAATATGTCTGAGATGAAACCCTATTGCCTCGTTGGCAATCTAATCTTTGCATATCCCTGCACGTATCATCCGAGTCCATGCTACTGGCAGCACTGTGACTGATCTAAAGAGCTTGGCAATTAGTTTCGGTTGGCCCTGTAATTAACGAGGAAATCAGTCGCCAGGCCAAATGCACGAGGCAGTCATGCCTCCAACCGAACAAGGTGGACAAAATTACAAGATTTGGAGAGGGTTTGGGGCTACCTATGCCGACAGTTGCGCCCAAGTAGTCGGAAACGAGCAAACGCTGCTCGGACTGGACGTTGTCTCCACAGTGTAGAGGAATCTTCTATCGATCACCGTCTGAACCTTGTGTGGTAATTGAGGTGTAGATTTATGACATGACATGCCTAGAGTTAGATTATATACACGTGCTAGCCGCATCTCAGCATTCTTGCGAGCCAGAAACATCAGGAACTGACATACCTACACGCCAATCATTTTTTCTTTTTACCCTTACTCTTCCCACCACCTCCACCTCCCCCGGATACAGGGGCCGCGTGTTCCACACTAGTACTGCCTTGTGTTGCACCTCCACCACCGCCCTTCTTCTTCTTTCCGTGGCTCTGCACTACTGTCCGCTCACTCTTCTTCAGCCAACGCTCTGGGATCAGGAGGTGGTGTAACCCCCGGAGTGACGCCCTTCGGTACACGCGACATGCGTACTTTCTTCTTTGGAGTCGCCGTCGCCGGCTCCTTGCTAGCAGTGGCATTGGAGGCAGCAATCGCAGCGGCCACAGTTGAGGTGGACTGCTGAGGTGGAGGAGGCAGTGTATCGATATTATTCCTCAAGGAAGCGGGTAGGCTGTCGAGCGATCTCAGAAATCCTGACTCGATAAAATCCAGGTGTTGTTGCGCAGCTTGGAGATTGGTGAGAATATCAGCATGTTCTTCAGAATCCTGTTCTGATAGTTAGTGTATGTTTTACAGAACAAGGGGCAGTCGCACGGGTTCACATGTGTCTAGTAGCTGGCTGTACAACTCAACAGCGGTTGGTAAGAGCCTTGACGATAACACTATACGCAAATGAGATCCTAAGCTTCAGAAGGAGGCTCTGCGAACTCACCAGTTGAGCTTCAAGGTGCATTGCCCCTCTGTCATCCCGTTCTTCTCCTTAATCTCTTTCAATACTTCTTCTGCTTGTTCCTCTCTCTGCATTCGGTACAATACGTATGCCTTTTCGAATGCATGAGCATTGCCGGACTCGCCCTTTTCGCCGAGCCCCACCAACTCCAGTACCGGTGTATACTGCTCCGTTTGCAGGTATAGGAATAATTTGGTCTGTAGCGCATCTGGATCGTCGGGTGAAAGCCTTAAAACTTGACGTAGGGTCAGTATAGCCGCATTTCATTAATGAAGCGTAACATACTCTTGTCGCATGTCTTGATCGCGTTGGAGAAGTGACCCCCATCTATTTGAGCACAGAGCGAGTTGAATAGCCTCTTCAACCGATCGGGGACTGGTACTGGCTGCTTTGGGGCCTTACGACCTTTATGGTGTTCCCCAGGTTTGTTTCCTGGTTTTGCAGCCGCAGGCTTATTAGATTTCTTGGGTGCCATCTGTAAATCTCGAGTCAGATACGATTATCAGACGTATCAGTCCAAAGACTTGCCCTGAGATGAGAGAGACTTTCAAAGTCTCGAGCTGACTGATGGTTCTGGGTAGAGAAACAGATACCGCGAGGACGCTGATACGCTGTCCACGACGTTCTTCTCACGATATCTTTTCTCTCTTCAACATCATGTCCAGCGACGAGTAAGCCCTTTCACTCATTCCCATGTATCTACAGGAGCTCAAATGGCACTTTCTGAAGAATAGTGCAAGATGCAGCACCGTCAACAGCAGACCCAGATCAACAGGAAGAACCAGCGGCGATGAACACTGACACGACTAGGAAGCGACCCCGACTGGACCTCACTGCAGAACCAGGTAACAGGGAAAGAAAGAGGGGAAAGTCCATGTTCGGGCTTGTTCTGGGAACCCTGAACAAGGCCAAGCTTGAGGATAAGGAGAGGAATGCCAGTGAAGCGGTGAGTCATCTCATTGCAGCTTCCGGGGTCACTCGCTCACCTTTTCGTAGGCAAAAAAACGACAATTAATAGATCAACGTTTGCAAAGTAGACTACGGAAGGAAACTGACTCTGTACGAAGGGCAGAAGAAGCAAAAAAGGACAAAACGAACGCGAACCGGAAAGAGGAAGATCTTCAGCTTAAAGATTCGGTGGTATGTCTAGCATCCTCGTATCTGCAGCACGTTCTCACCAGTTTATAGTATAAGCTCCGAAGAAAGCGTCTACCACTTCTCGCAAACTTCCTACTCACTTCGGATGATATACCCGATGTCGATGATCCCGAAAAATCTTCAACACCATCAGAAAATCCACTTGCACCACCACCTCGGTCACACCCGCCGCCTTTGTACTATCTTCCTACTATCCTGACCCCTTCACAAGAGGCTTTCATCGCAAAGCGTAAACAGGAGGTCCGTACACACCACCTCATGACTTTCCTAACACTAAGACATGCCTTTAGGTCAGCGAAGCAGCTGAGAAAGAATGGAGCATTTTCCGCGAAGAACGTACGGCTGGTATTGCTGAAATTCAGCAGCTTCGTCAACGCGTCGTCGAGGAAGAGGAAAACCGCAAGAAAGAGCCGGGCGGCGATGCAGATGCAGAGATGGATACCCGAGAAGAAGCTGCTACCAGCAAATCCGAAGACAAAAAGACCGACAACGAGTCTATGGACGTCGATGACGGCCCCAAAGCCGTAGAATCGGAGAAACCCAAGGAAGAGTCTGCACCGCCGCCCCAGGCGGACGATGACGATGCAGTCGAGTATTAATGATGGTTTTGTTGCCGTTCCTTCCTTCTTTTTGGTTGAGGTGAGCGTTTGCGTGCATGCGGGTATACGTAAGCTGACGTTCTGATACGTTTTCAGTACTGTTGCTTTCGTACGTTGCCCATCTTTGCTTCTCGTTCCACCTCTTTCCCTCATTTATCTTGTTCCTGATCTTGTTCTGCCCCCTTTGATGTCATACTTATTCGTGTTCTCACATAATCACTGTAACGAATATTGCTGACAATTCAATAAACATGAATCAAACCAAACGCTTCACGCCAAAACTCAAAACTCAGATTACCTGTGATCCAATAGCTATGAGTCACCATGAGTCACGGTTATGTCCTGTTTCAAAGGCGTGCAGACGCGCCTTCACCTTTTGATAGTTACTTGACCGACCCCGAAGTTTCAAGGAACTCATTTGCGCAAAAGAGGACACGTACAAGATTCCATATTGTTCAAACACTGATACATCATACTGTTACATATAAAAGTAGATATAGTCCGACTCGACCAAGTATCACTACGAATACATATGCCCATATCCATTTGTGACGAAGAAGCCCCTCCATCGAGTCAGTCGCAAGCAAACCAATGTGAGTTTAGAGGCCAATGCTGACAGGAACACATCCGATAGAAATGAGGGTACCTGTAAAGAAAAGGGATCAGCATGCGTTCAGAACAAGTTCAAGAGATGCTAAGTGGTTTACCGTGAGAGTTGTCCTCGCAGCAGACAGGATGGGCAGAGCTACGCGTTCATCAGCACAACATACATTCAGAGGGAGCAGAATAGTGCTTACCAGCCGCTGCCGCCAGCACCGATGACGGTGATAGGGCTGCAGGTAAGACCGACGCCGACGGTCAAATCCTGGACGACGACGCCGATGAGGGCCAAGATTCCGGCAGCGGCAGGGTCGCCGGCGTTGGTGACGGTGTTGCAGCACTGAATGGGACCAGTGTTGCAATCACCCGCAGGTTCACCACCACGACGAGTCGGTGTGGCAGCCGCAAGGGTGGCGAGAGTAGCAAGAGAAGAAGAGCTTGTATTGCATGTTTGAGAAGATGAGAGAGGCTTGAACGACTACTGCTGGGTGTTCGAGTGAAGAGCTTGTGTCGAATCCGGTAGGCCTTTATACCCTCTTGGATCTCCTAAAACCCTGGTAGCCCATCGAACACGGGTTTGAACGCGTCAATGCAGAAAGAAAATGTGTTGTGGAGCCCATGTTGAAGTGGAGCTCCTGCTGAACAGTGGGAAAAGTGATCGGGCGTTGAACAGATGTATATGTTGTGTTATGATGGAAGATTCTCTACTGCATCAGGATACAATCAGCACAGAACTGTAGAGAAGCCCTGAATACAGAGCTTTTGTGGCGTTTGATTTGACAGATGCAAGACAGATGCCAGCAGTGTAATGAACTGGGTACTTGCGCAGATATTAGTATACTACAGTTCAACGTTCAACATCCAAGGTACAGTATGGGTTGCACCATGACGTAGCTCAGAACGATAATCCGAAAGAGGCGTTGTTATGTCATGAAACGACTGGAAGTCTCAAAGGATTCGAGTCCGGAGTTTTTGAGATGCCTACAGGCTACAACGGCATCATGATTAATGCGAATGAATTGACAACACCATTAAAGACCTTGTTTTGTTTTCAAGCATGGCTCGTCGGGAAAACCTAGAGGAATGGGGAAGCAGAGCATCATCAGGTCATGTCCACCATACAATATTTCCACACACCTTCGTCAGTGGCCATCCTTCAAAATAAATCCGTCGGCCAAGCTTTTCCGTTACATCGGCAGTACCCGTAAAACGGCGTATTTGGACATCACAAGATGTATGAGGAGATTCCCTGAAGATGATCAGAGAGCGGGAGATTTTGATGGTGGAAGAAACTGAGAAAGCTTTGGTGAGAAAAGGTGACGCAGCTACGTCTACTTACCGCCACCTCCTTCACGTGGCGCAATCAACATTTGTCCAACAAAGTACGAGGTCCTGTAGTGTAGTGGTTATCACGACGGATTCTGATTATGTAAGCAGTATTCCGTCGACCCAGGTTCGAATCCTGGCAGGACCTTCTTTTTCCCATTAAGCCCAATTACAACGATATAATTATGCTAACAGTGATACATTACTCCCAAGCAAGTCCCTGAATATACTCCACCCCTTTCCGCGAAACACAGCCCTGCCATACCGTCTTCATCTCCCGCTGGTTATTGATGGAATTGACCACTTCGGCGGCACACTTGCCCGATGTCGCACTCAGGAAACAGGCCACGATCGATATGATATCTGTTCGATGATCTCGAGGTGCAGTTATGAGAACTCTAGGTGAAATCCGCCCAGCTGAACTCGCAGCGCCGCTCAACCTTATAAACTCCCGTGCTGCTACCATCTGTTTGGGCCTCAGGCGTGCAACACCCTCAGCACCTGGCATAAACATCTTCTCTGTCGTATAATATGTTGCACCCAGAAATAAGTCGGCCTGTTCAGGCGACATATCATGCAGTTCAGGATCTCGAGTGAGAACGCTCATCTGCAGCTCGTACCGGTGATGTGAATGACGCTTGGTAGAGAGCCGAAGGTATCTCGTCTTGTTTTGGTTCGTGAAGTAAGTGATAATAGGTGTAGGCTCCGAATTAACGATTTGGACGATGTGGGTAAAACGCTGACCGCTTTCTGCCCGGAGTTCTTCTGTCGTGGGCCCAGGGGATCCGAATGCTCTGGAGTCGTCTTCGAACGCAACGTAAATTCCATGGGCTATGTATTGAAGGCACCGTGATTCATGCTTCATGGGACGGTAAACAGGGGAAGGCGGGTCGACCCTGTTGGTACCTGTAGGTGGTCTGGCATCGGCTGTTGGCCCTGAAAGTGAAAAACGATGGCGGGATATGGGGCTTGATGCAGAAAGGCGATGCCGCAGACCGATGAAGGGATTGATGAGTGAATTCCTTTTTGAAGAGCCCGATGGCCCAGGCGAAGGAGGCGGAAGGCTGGGTGATGTTCTGACCGCGCACTTCGATGAAATGGGAGAAGACGGAGACGCCGAGCAAGGTGATGAAGGTGGGAGACTATAGCTCGCTCTCGCAGGGCGGAAGAGCTGTGGGATATTCAAGGCACCTAAGACGGATCTCGATTTTGAGACGACATTGGACGTCGAAGCCTTCCCAAGTGTTGTCGGAGGCGTGTTAATTTGAGGAGCCGTCCAAAATAATGAAGACTCGGCTGACGAGGAGGACGACGAGGAGATAGAGTATGTCTGGGCCATACCAGTTGAATAAATTGGCACCCTGTCTTTATGTCGACCGTTCTTGACTGCATCAGATCGTCCAGAGACATGCCTCTGACAGGGAACATGTCTCACTGCCCCCAGCATTCAAGCAAAGGAGTCAAATTTCCAAAGCCGACGATTCTAGACCCGCAGGCCATCATTAACATTCTCCAGGCCTTTAGCCAACGACGGTTGAGCCCCGTTCAGCCCTGCAATTTCAGGTAGTAGACATCGATTTCCCGTAAAACGAAATACGAGTTGAGCTGGAAGAGGCCAGGAATTCTTCGTGCTTGATCGTACGACATTCTGTCAAGGCCGAATTTGCCGTCTCCTAAAGGTCGGAAAATGGAGTATTCGACGTGACCCTAAACGCGAAAAAATTAAGCCATGTAAAGAGTTCTTTTCCCTGATCCCGTCTCTCCCATCCTCCAATCCTTGCTCCACAATTCTTCTTCATTTGACCTATAAAAATCCGCGTGGAATAAAAAAAACTGATGCACATCCGTGTAACAAGACCCGAGCTCACCGTTGCGCGTAATGATGGTCAGGAACAAGATGCATTGCCGCCAGTCACATGCTGATAAACGACGGAAAGTGTTCTTCGCTGCTGTTTGCGGGATGAAAATATCCGACATCAACACGACTATTACAACACTCTGTGGTGCATAAAGTGTCTGTGAATTGTGTACCGAAATATGTGCAATAGAAGGGGGGTAATAATGGGAGTAATACATGAGGTCGTTAAGATAAATGCGTTCGTTGTGTGAACGTGAAAACAGACGTAAGGGTGTGTAATGCTGGTGTCATGCCATGGTCCTCTACCCACTCCATTGCGTGCAGTCCAAGGGTATCAATCAAACGATGTATGCGCCAGCTACTACTCCGAGGAGCGTGACCATCAGACTAACGAAAGCACCCTGGCTCGCGGTAAAGTCAAGGGTCGAAAAGGCACCATTGGTATCAGAAGCGTTGGTAGTAGTTGGCTGGGTGTTGCTGGCACTTGGAGCCCCACTTGTCTGGCTACCTGAAGAGCTGATAGATGTAACGGAGAACGAAAGGGATGTGCTAGTGGTAGCAAGGGCACAGAACTGTTGAGCGAGGTTTTCTGCCTGGGGAAGTTCACCGGGGCATCCGGATGAAATGTACGAAATGAGTTGAGTGGTGAAATTAGAACTAAGAGAAAGAGAGACCGTCAGGCCTTTCATATAATTGAGTGTGATGACACGCACGCATGGCAATAACAGTCCACAGGAGCAATGTTTTCGCAGCCTGCGTCAAAAATTGCCCTCTGCAAAGATTGCGAAACTAGAAACGTATTAATACATACTTGTCGGTCAACAGAATCGACAAACTCACCACACTGAGAATAAGGTTCCAAAGAAGGCAACGACACACTGCTTGTAGGAGCTGAACTCGTTGCAGATGCACTAAGAGAGCCCCCTGAAGTTGCAGATCCGCTCGCAACTGCACTCGAATCTGTCCCAATCGCTGTTCCAGTTACACTTCCAGTAATCGTTTCAGGAGGAGGCGCCTGTGATGCTTGAGCCCACGTGAACGAGATGAACTGAAGGAGGAAAAGGAATGAGAGAGGTAGATGTCGGAGCTGGAGGGAGATAATCGACATGATGGGCAGGTCAAGGTGCTTGTTGTCGTCGTCGACGTCGGGGACTCCAATCGCTTCACTGCTAATTACCAAAAAAGCGCAGTTAGGGTTTATTGGGGTCTGGGTCACGGCCGGTGAAACGGCCAAAATCACCGAGCACTGCTTTTTTCTTTTCAGACCACCATGTTCCCTCTTGCGAGCTGATCCAAGATATTCGGTACCTGCATGGATGCTCTGCTTATGCGATGCGGTGTAGGCAGACACAAACGTCGTTCGACACGATACCGTCGATGATAGCACCTCTGACGCAAACCTCAAGTAGTACTCGTATAGAACTCGGTGTCTAGGCTCAACCTCGATCCCAGACAATCTTGATTTATCACCAGTGATCTCTTCGAAGCTAGTTTGTCCTACACGAGCTGCTGGAGTATCACAGACCTCTCGAAGGTGGACTTGCCTATCAAGATCTGACCTCCCACGGCGCAGCTTCACAAACACGAAAGTTCACTTGACACGCGAAGACCTGCCACCTGTAGGCGTTATCCTGTGTCTCTGGAAGCTAAGCAAGACCCCGTGGGGCCTATTTAGGGTACTGTAGCTTTGAGTCGCGTCGAAGCTGCCCTACCCTTGGAGCAGAACATCCAGTCAAACTGCTGGGTCACTGGCACACTGCTTCGCATGTATTGAAACAGGATCTGCTGACCTTCGACTTTATCCATTTCAAGGTCGGCCGATGATTCAATGACTCATACGTTCAGAGTATTTCGCGCACTATGTCGTAGAATTTGGAAATGGGACGGTGCAGGCTATTCTCCGGCATCAGTGGAGGCGATGAGAAAACTGATACACCGCGGAGGAAGGCTGGAAGAACATGAGGCGCCTTGGCCAACAGAAAAATAGTACAGTTTTCGCGTTCAATTCTGGAGGCTTTGGCAGCTGACGTTTTCGTTTCAGAAGGTCTTAGCCGCTGACGCACATTATCGTCGAGAAAATAGCGAAAACTATGCGTTCAATAATGCAGCGCCTGATGACGTCCAACAACCCTTCATGTCGTCCTTTTCTGATGTACTTCCAGAGTATGTTGGTCACATTCACCGCTTTATGGCATTAATCATTCCAAAAACCCTGTTGTCGCCCCTCTTCACCCGCTCGATATCCATTGGGTAAACACATCTTCGCGCGTCATTACAATTCATCCTGGACAGTTGACGCCGTTCGTTAATATCTATTTCAGGGACACAATATGCTGGATCTCGCCGTCTGTGAGAGCGCATCTTTCCTCGTGTCATCTATTTCTGTTACATCACCCCACAAAACATTTTCTTTCCTACAACACCATTCACTTTTTTGCATCACACATCTCTTCAGCCACAGATCACCTTTGAATCGTTGTTTCTCACTACATAACAGTTGCTCCACTTCGACGTGCTCCACAACGTATTCTACAATTTCTGCACAGGCGCGCATCCCTCATGTTCAAGGTACCTAACGCGTTCAAAACGTATAAAAGGCTTCCCAGTTCGACTCGGATTCTTCACTCGAACACCCAGCAGTAGTCGTTCAAGCCTCTCTCATCTTCTCAAACATGCAATACAAGCTCTTCTCTCTTGCTACTCTCGCCACCCTTGCGGCTGCCACACCGACTCGTCGTGGTGGTGAACCTGCAAGCTCTTGCTCCACTGGTCCTATCGAGTGCTGCAACACCGTCACCAACGCCAGCGACCCTTCCGCTACCAAGATTTTGGGCCTTTTGGGCATCGTCCTACAGGATTTGAACGTCCTCGTCGGCCTTACCTGCACCCCCGTTACCGTCATCGGTGCTGGTGGATCTGGCTGGTAAGTCTCATTTTTCTACTACGTGGATCACAACTGATGAAATCTCCAGCTCTGCCAATCCCTGTCTGCTGCTCTGACAACTCTCATGGTAAACAGACTTAGCATCTCCCTCGATTGATATTCCGAATAAATGCTGATTTCTTGTCTTTCCAGGTGGCCTCATCTCCATTGGCTGTGTCCCCGTCGACCTCAGCCTCTAAAGGCGCGACAACTTCACTACGCTTTGACTTGACAGAGAGGTCGTAAAGGACATTTAGATATGGGTGCTCGTATCTGTTTGTAAACCACCTTCGAGTCGGACTGTAATTGGCTTCGGACATGTGATCTGTACGTTTGTATGTTGTTGTATGAATGAATTGTGATCGTT